ATTCCTTTCACCTGTTACAAACAAATGCACAAAAACATAATACCCTGACAACCTTGTGGTGTAGGGTATAAAATTTTGGAAATAGCATCAAATTTTAGAATAAGTTTAAATTTGTTCGAATTGGTACCTTTGGCACGATTTATGGCCTTCAAACCTCCAATGAAACGGTCACACGCTGCCCGAATTTTGCTCTGCGGTATTTTTGTCCAATCCCGGCGAAGCGATTGCTTGAGGTGATCGACACTTTTGTAATTTTATTGCCAACCATGCTTTCCAAAATATTCCAATGGATTGGTAACCAGAGAATTTGGTGGCCAATGTGCGCTGGAAATGAAGCGAGGAACCTCATTTTGTAACCATTCTTTGGTGGCGCGTGCTGAGTACGATACTGCTGAGTTCTGTTGGAATGTCCATCCTGACCTCTTTGGCAAGTAAACACGACTATTTTGTTTGTTTACAAACTGCTGGACAACGAATGTTCTCACATCGGAGAAAACTAAACTCGGCAGTTCACCACTTTCAGCCAAGTGATGCAACTCTTCAGCTCTTTTGAGTCTATTTTCTTTCTGTTGCGGGGTAAGTCCTTGCACTTTTTGGAATTTCAATGGCTTTATCCCGAGCTCATTTTTCAATATTTGCCGAATGGAATATTGCGATATGTTTAGCTCAAGAGTCATTTTTCGGCCACTGCGACGCAGGTTTCGATCAAGTCGCTTCTTTACTTTTCGAACCCTTTCTGCTGATGTTGCTATTTTCTTCTGTCCACTTCCTTGACATCAGGCTACGCTACCAGTATCACGTTAACGAGCGATGGTGCGAGATACAAAAGATTTATTCACACTTAAATGCTGGTGTGCTCTAACGGTTCGCTCGTATTAATCGACCGCTCTAACGACAGACTCTTGTGGTTTTCCAGCCAAATATAAGGAAATCACACTTGAATTCAATCACGAAGAATTTTTTTTTCTAGAAAATTCTCACCAAAATGCTTTTGTACACTTGTAAACAATATAATGAGCTGTCTCTGGAATAATTTTAACAACTGCCGGACGAAGTTGCTTAGAAATGACATCAGTCTGAAGTTGGATGCAGTTTTTTTATCTCACCCTGTATTTCCAAAATCACCCCCTTATCCAGCTTCACACTTCAGCTTATCACAATTCCAGCTTCATCCGTCCACCCTTAATTAATTCGCACACTTAGTACACATTTCCGAAACGACCTTCGTATATCAAATTTACTTTCTAACCTTGATCCTCATATCAAATTTGAAGTTCGTTCGTATAATAGGAAATAGTTCCATTTTAGATGTTTAGTACCATTTTGGAACTTTTCATTACATTTAAGTTCGAATTTCCAAAAACTCCCTGGTTATCTATCCTGCATTGCACCAGGTATAAAGTATACAATTTTTAGTACATTTACCATGAAAAATTTCAAATTCTGGCTTCAGCCGTTTCGTCTGAGAGTTCGCAGTTATTTCATTTTTCTTTTATATGAATACATAGATTATCGAAATAACGAATTAAATCTAATTAGAACGCATTTGAAACTACCCAATATTTATTTGGTTCAAATTCTCCCTTTGTGTCTTCATTGTCTTTAGACACGTAACATAAACCATCTTCAGTAAAACTTGTTCTTTGTCTTCTTTGGATTCTATTAAATGCCAAGCCATTGAATAACTTTCGTTTTTTAAAGAAGAATAAATTTAGCTAAGAAAAAAACACGTTTCAAAATTAATGTTGTAGTCGTTGTACAAGAACAACATAACCATCAGAAATCAAACGACAGCAAGAATATGAGACAACAAACATTGGCAACTTGATTTAATAGTTCCGTTCCAAAACGCGACAAATTTTGAAAATGAATTTCAATTATTATCGGAATAAGATTTTGGCAGTGATAAACTAGTTTTGGACAGTGAATGTGTGAAATTCTATTAAATTGATTGATTTATCAGATCGAATATTTGGTTTCCCGCTATTATCTTATGTGATATATTGAGTTTATGGATGTACATTAGGGTAGATCAAATTGGGTGAAGGGGAAACTTTTCGATAAGCGAAGTCAATTAAAATAAGTAAAAAAGCTATATGTTCGGCCGGGCCGAACTTTGAATACCCTCCACCATTTGGTACAAATTTGGCAATTTTCAAAATAAATATCCGTTAAAATAATAATAATAATAATAAAAAATAAAATCCGTTAAAAATTCTGTTAAAATCTTAGAAATACCGAATGTAGCCTTATATTATTAGGGTCCATACGACGACATGGACCTGCATAGGCAATTTTTGTCATAAGCTATTACAATATTTAGAAGCGAAACTGGAAAAAAATCTGTTTATAATGTAGCTAAAATCATCGAAATGCCAAATATAGGGAGGTACCATGGAGGTTATAAAAGGAGGACCTGCACAGACAATTTTCCGGCATAGGCTGTAGTATCCATTGCGAACGTCAAATAAAAAATTTGAAATAATTTCGGTAAATAATGTCGCTAAAATCATCAAAATACCGAATATCGGGGGGAACCGTTATATGGGGGCTAAACGAAGACGTGGACCTGCACATACAATTTTCTGTCATAGGCTGTAGTATTTATTACGAGCTTCAAATACCAAATTTGAAACAATTCTAATAAATAATATCGCTAAAATTATCAAAATACCGAATATCGGGATGTACCGTTATATGGGGGTTATACGAAAATGTGGACCTGCACAGACAATGTTCTGTCATAGGCTGTAGTATTCATTACGAGCTTCAAATACCAAATTTGAAGCAATTCCGGTAAATAATGTCGCTAAAATCATTAAAATACTGAATATCGGTGGTACCGTTATATGGGGGCTATACGAAGACGTGGACCTGCACATACAATTTTCCGGCATAAGCTGTAATATCCATTACGAACTTCAAATACCAATTTTGAAACAATTCCGGTGAATAATGTCGCTAAAATCATGTTAATACCGCATATCGGGAGGTACCGATATATGGGGGTTATACGAATACGTAGACCAGCACAGACAATTTTCTGTCATAGGCTGCAATATTCATTATGAACTTCACATACCGAATTTGAAACAATTCCGGTAAATAATGTCGCTAAAATCATAAAAATACCGAATATCGGGAGGTACCCTTATATATGGGGGCTATACGAAGACGTGGACCTACATAGCTTATTTTCTGTCATAGGCTGTAATATCCATTACGAACTTCAAATACCAATTTTGAAACAATTCTGGTAAATCATGTCGCTAAAATCATCAAAATTCCGCATATCGGAAGGTACCGTTATATGGGGGCTATACGAGGACGTGGACCTACATGGCCCATTTTCAATATCAAAAGTCCTGCAGACATAATATACATTTGAGTAAAATGTTATCAATCTACTTCATTTTGTTCGGAAGCTAGAGTGATTTCCACAGACGGGCAGACGGATAGACGGACGGACATCGCTAAATCGACATAGAATTTTATGTTGATCAAGAATATATATACTTTGGGGGTCTAAAATGTATATTTCGAGGTGTTACAAATGGAATGACAAACCTTATATACCCTCCATACAATGGTGGAGAATATAAAAGGGCATAAGTACTTATAACCTCTTCCATGGAAAACTTTTGTTATAGCCTACGCAATATTCAAGACCCTGAATACTGGATATATAAATACAGTACGAATTTTCAAATGCAACCTTCTTATAGAGGCGGACATAAAAAATTAAGCTTCAAATGTTTTATTTTAATTTTAACAAAAGCTGTTCGAATTCAAACAAGTAAAAAAACATTAAGTTCGGCCGGGCCAAACTTTTAATACCCTCCACCTTAGGGTAAAAGAAACATTAGAAGAAATGTGGCAAAAACCATTAAAATACCGAAAATCGGGAGGTACCGTTATATGAGGGCTATACCAAATCATGGACCCATGCATGCAATGTTTCGCCACCGAAGCTGGAACCCATTATGACCAACAAATACCATTTTTCAGACAAATCCGTGGAAAAATGTGGCAAAAATAATCAAATTACCGAATATCGGGAGGTACCGTTATATGAGGGCTATACCAAAACGTGGACCTATAATTACAATGTTTCGCCACACGAACTAGGGCCCATTATGACCCACAAATACCAATTTTTAGACAAATCAGTAAAAAAATGTGGCAAAAACCATTAAAATACCGAATATCGGGAGGTACCGTTATAAGGGGGCTATACCAAATCATGGACCCATACATGCAATGTTTCGCCACCGGAGCTGGAACCTATTTTGACCCACAAATACCAATTTTTAGACAAATCCGTGAAAAAATGTTGCAAAAATCATCAAAATTACCGAATATCGGGAGGTACCATTATATGGGGGCTATACCAAATCACGGACCCATACATGCAATGTTTCGCCACCGGAGCTCGAAACCATTATGACCCACATATACCAATTTCCAGACAAATCCGTGAAAAAATGTGGCATAAATCATCAAAATACCGAATATCGGGAGGTACCGTTATATGGGGACTACACCAGAACGTGGACCTATATATCTCATTTTCAATACCAACCATCCTAGACACAATGAAAATAGCTCTGCTAAATTTTGGCGCTCTACGTCAAATAATGTGGGCTGTATCGTGATTTCAACAGACAGGCAGACAGACGGACAGACAGACAGACAGACATCGTTAAATCGACTTAGAATTTTATGCTGATTATGAATATATATACTTTATGGGGTCTAAGACGAATATTTAAGGATGTTACAAACGGAATGACAAAGTTAATATACCCTCCTTTCCGAGGTGGAGGGTATAAAAATGGAGGAGTATCACAGACGGAGAATAAGTTAATAGATTATTAAGGAGGCTTTCCAAATGCCCTTAAATTTTCAAAACTATAGTCCATCTTGGCCCATTCTTACAGCTACTAAAATAATAATTTTTCAATATTCTTAACACCTTTTCTTGTTTTATTCCATTTTAGCATTGAATCTGATATCTGGATGTCAAACACCAACGACGTTGTACAAACCACTCAAATTTCAAGCGACGTTAGTGGCGATGGCGGTGCTGCTGGGATAGCACAGCCGTCCTCTTCGCCCTCGGCCACATCATCGTCATCATCATTATCGGTGGCGGCAACAGCATCAACAACAAGTACCAGCAGACATCATCTAACAGCAACACTTCTGTCATGTCCATCAATCATCGATGTAATTGTTGGCCAACAACATGAGACGCTCATCAACACCAACAACGATTGTAAGAAATTGCTAACAACGGCCACAGCCACATCAACATCGTCGGCAACAACAACCAAGACAACAAATACAGCTGCAGCTGAGACAATGGCCAACTCGAATGGCGGCAGCAACAACCAACAACAACAACAACATGAAAGCACACTCGCTCCAACATCGCTGAGTCGTAGCTGTATGGCAGTAACAACAACAACAACAGCAGCAGTATCAGCATCAACTGTTGAAATAACAGCAGCACCTACAACTGACCTAATAACAGCAGCAACAACTACGCCGCTACCAATTGTCCACATTCCCAGTCACCATCAATCACAACAACAACTACAGCAACAACTGCAACAACAACATCATAAACAATTGGAACAATTACTGCAAGAACAACAATTTACGCAATTGCCATACAGTGACGATGACGATTCGGCAATGAAATCGTTGGAGCGCAACGATTCAGTGTCCAGTGGATTTTGCACTCGCAGCGGCAGTGGTACATTGGAGCTGGAATTGTCCGCAATGGTGGCCTCAATTTATGATCAAGAAATCACCAAGTAAGTGTGACAAATCACCCTTTACAAAATTGTTATTACAGAGTTAGGATGCGATACAGACATTGAGAGGTTCTGTAGGTAATCTGGAGAACAAGGGAGTCCATATACTTGAGGTATTGGACGAAGGAGTCAAAAAGGTCGAGTTGTGAAGCCAGTGTCTAAGGGACAGGAAAGACTGTATAGCCAAACTGGAGGGATGTGGAGCCCATATAAACCAACGAGTCGATACAGATGAGACGAAGAGTCAGAGAACCTATTTATACCAGCTGGGGGGCCTAGTGGCTAATTTAGACGAGATGGAAGAGCAGAAATTTTCTTTAGAGACGATGTAGGATAGCTGAGTCTACTTAGACGAGCTAGAGGTCCAGGGAGTCGGATTCTACAAGCTGGAGGGCAAAGGTGTCTATCTGGGCACCAAGGTATCTAATTTAAACGGAGTCAATTTAGACGACAACTGCAGAGGGCCATCCACTTTATATAGTCTACTGAGACGAGCTGTAAATTCAGGGTATCTAATTACACGAGATAGAGGGTCAGGGAGTCTACTCAAAAGATCGTTTAGGACTAGCTGAAGCGCCCAGGACCAGAAAGACTCCTTAGGTGATCTTCAGGGCCAGTGAGTCCTTTTAGACCAGCTGGAGCTCTTATAGGGCAGAGGGTCTGTACTATATACGAGCTGGTGCCCGGTGCAGCATATAGATTTGTTGCCCAGGCTGTCTCTATAGACCAGAACAGCTGGTGTTTTGCTAGGGCCCAGGATATTTTTATAGACCAGAACAGCAGGTGCCCTGCTGGAGCTCAGACTTTATAGACCAGCTCGTGCCCTGCTGAGGCCAGGTTGTTTTTATAGACTAGCTGGTGTCCTGCTGGGGCCCAAGCTGTGCCCTGCTGGGGCCCAGGCTGTCTTTATAGGTTAGCTGGTGCCCTTTTGAGGCCCAGGCTGTCTTTATAGGTCAGCTGGTGTCCTGCCGGGGCTCAGAATGTCTTTATAGAGCAGCTGGTACCCTGCTGGGGCTCAGACTGTCTTTATAGAGCAGTTGGTACCCAGGCTGTCTTTATAGGTTATCTAATGCCCTTCTGAGGCCCAGGCTGACTTTACAGGTTATCTAGTGCCCTTCTGAGGCCGAAACTGTCTTTATAGACAAGCTGTAGCCCTGCTGGGGCCCAGACTGTCTTCATGGATAAGCTGGTGCCCTGCCGGGGCTCAGACTGGACAAGCTGGTGTCCTGTCGGGGCTGAGACGGTTATATTGAACAGCTGGTGCCCTGTTGAGGCCAAGACTGTTTTTATAGAGATGCAGGAGCCCTATTGAGGCCCTGCCTGTCTCTAAAGACAAGTGGTGTCCAAGCTATTGATATAGACCAGCTGGTGTACGGTTGACTTTATAGACCTGCTGGGACCAAGTTGTCTTTTTAAACCAGCTGGTGCCCATGATGTCGCTATAGACCAGCTGGTGCCTGTTGGCGCCCAAGATGTCGCTATAGACCAGCTGGTGCCTGTTGGCGCCCAAGATGTCGCTATAGACCAGCTGGTGCCAGTTGGCGCCCAAGCTGTTGATATAGAATGGCTGGTGCTAGTTGGCGCCCAAGCTGTTGATATAGAATGGCTGGTGCTAGTTGGCGCCCAAGCTGTTGATATAGACCAGCTGGTGCCAGTTGGCGCCCAATCTGTTGATATAGAACAGCTGGTGCCAGTTGGCGCCCAAGCTGTTGATATAGAACAGCTGGTGCCAGTTGGCGCCCAAGCTGTTGATATAGAACAGCTGGTGCCAGTTGGCGCCCAAGCTGTTGATATAGACCAGCTGGTACCAGTTGGGGCCCAAGCTGTCGATATAGACCAGTTGATGTCCTTTGGTTCCCAAGCTTTCGATATAGACCTGCTGTTGACTGTCGGCGCCCAAACTGTCGATATTGACCAGTTGGTGCCCATTGGCGCCCTTTGCGTCCAAATGCTCGATAGTGACCAGTTGGTGACCGTTGGTACCCTCGCTATCAATATAGAACATCTGGTGTCTGCTGGTGCCCAAACTGTCGATTTAGACCAGTTAGTGAACGTTGGGGTCCAAACTGTCGACATAAACCAGGTAGTGCCGTTTGGGAGCAGACAGTACCCGATAGGGCTCAGTCAGACCAGCTGGTGCAAGTTGGCGCCCAAGCTGAAACGACAAGCTAAACGAACTTTTACGAATATAATTATATTATTTTGCTATTGAAATTTACCTATTAATTATTTTTCTCTCGCCTTTTCTCTCTCTCTCTCTCTCTCTCTCTCTCTCTTTTCTCTCTTTCGTAGTAGTGACAGTGCATCAATGGCCTCGGATCTAACACGCATGTATGTCAGCGGTGAAGACGATGATCACTAGAGGTCAAATGCCCTACATTCCCTATGACTTGGACAGAAGTCACATTAACCAATATACATATATAACCGACACAGCATACCTTTTCAACATAACCTAACTATTATATTTAAACAATAACAGCAGGAGAATTCTTGGAAAACTGAACATTTGAAATTGCCCCCTAAAATTGGTAAACCAGAACAACAAAAATTGTTAACGATTGGCCTTGATTTTTTTTTGAAATGGTTTTCTCTACGATTTGAAATTAATGGATAAAATTTTAGTCTTTTGTTATGAAGAAGGAAATAAATAATTAAAATTTAATAAGATATTGATTATATACCTACTAACAAACACACATATAAAAATACATATTTACAAGTATTTTGGTAGTATGTAATTTGATGAATTACTGTGTATTTAAGTTATAAGATGGATAGCCTACACCACTTTTTGGGACAAGCGGGTTTTTACTACAGTTAATTTGATCGGACATTGATATTATATGCTGACGGACAAACCCGGACCCGGTATGATCTTGTATTGAACCGTATACGTTAGGTGGCCTACAAAAGGTATTTTCATCGGTACAAGACCAATTTTAATAATTTTGTTTTAATTTATGTTCGACGAAAAATATCGAAACTTGGCATTTTAATAAATAGAAGTGGTGTGTGGGGTTCTACCGATAATATATATTCCATTATATATGTTTATGTATGTAAACACAAACATCTTTAAAATTAAATTAAGTAGTATAAACTTATCAGATTTGAATTAAATACATATTAATACTTGCGTTTATGGGATCTTCGAAATTTATGTCGAAATTTTTGAATCGATTTTTTACTTGTATTAGGCAAACCGAAAAAATCTTTTTTCTTGCAGATACAGTTAGGATTTATAAGAAAGAAAAAAAAAAACAACAATTGATTATTTATATGCCGTTGTGCGAAAATGTGCTTTCTATGATCAATTACAATTATTTACATATGTACATAGGTATGTATGTATGTATGTATACAACGCACCTCATAATGAATACAAAAAAAGAAAATTACCTAAAATATTATCTATGTTTACAATGTTAACAAAAATAACAAAAAATAATTATATAAACTATTTACAAATTTAAAAATATATATATAAAATTATATGAAGCAGAGAGAAAACTATATTATTCTTAGTAAAATTTATGTACACAAAATAGCTGGTTGTTTTATTTAAGGCAAAGGAAGGCAATGAGGTTGGTACAAAAAGGGACATTAAGGAATATTTATTCTTAGACCATCCCAAAAAGAATCGTGAATTTTTCCACGTCTTATAATCGTATAATCGTTCGGGAACGGCAGTTCACTGCAGAGATACTAGCGAGAAGATGTTCAGGTCGTTTTAGGTTGTTCGGTATCGACAGCTTAGATGAATCGGGATTCGTTCTCGCTCGTCAACTCCTTGAACGTATATAGCGGTATAGCTGTTTGGGTCGATTACAATGACTAGGAAAATATTCTAGGTAGCATTACGGCTTATGACTATATCTAATTAGCCACCAATGTTTGAGATACGATATAGTAAAAAGAGCCAAAGATTCCTGTGAAACAATAAGCTAAAGAACAGAAAATGATTTAAAAATTTACTAAATACCTTTTGGCAAGCCCCTGCAGTAGCAGAACACTACAGGGTGAGATGAAAGAACTGCAACAATCTTCAGACTGCTGTCATTTCTAAGCCACTCGTCCGACAGTGATAGCTCATTATACTGTTTACAAGCGTACAAAGCATTTTAGTGAGAATTTTCCAGAAAAAAGTTATTCGTGATGGAATTCAAGTGTGATTTCTTTATATTTGGCTGGAAAGCCACAATTGGCTATCGTTAGAGCACTGCAGCATTTAAATGAGGATAAACCTTTCGTATCATCGCTCTTTACCATGACACTGGTAGCGTATCCCGACATCAAGAAAGTGGACGGAAGAAAACATCAACATTAACAGAAATGGTTCGAAAAGTAAAAAACCCGCGTCGCAGTGGCCGAAAAATGGCTCGTGAGCTGAAAATATTGCAATATTCCATTTGGCAAATATTGAAAAATGAGCTCGGGATAAAGCCATTGAAATTCCAAAAAGTGTAATAACTTACACCGCAACCGTAAGAAAATAGACTCAAAATGGCTAAAGAGTTGCTTCGCTTGGCCGAAAGTGGTGAACTGCCGAATTTGGTTTTCTCCGTCTCCGATGAGAAAACATTCGTTGTCCAGCAGTTTGTAAACTAACAAAATGATCGTGTTTACTTGCCAAAGAGATCAGCTGAAAATGTGCACCTTCGTGTGGGCCGCCATAACAGCTGACGGTCGCTCTCCGCTCGTATTAATTGGCCGTGACATCAAAATAAATGCCAAATATTATCGCAACAATATTCTGGAGGGTGTATTAAGCCTTGTGCACGCAAACATTTTGGCCGCAGGCCGTGGACATTCCAACAGGACTCAGCACCATCGCACTCAGCACGCGGCATCCAAGAATGGTTACAAAATGAGATTCCTCGCTTCATTTCCAGCGCACAATGGCCACCAAAATCTTCGGATACTAATCCGTTGGACAATGGTGTCTGGAGTATTGTAGAAGGCAAGGTTGGCACTAAAAACTACTAACGTGTAGATCACCTCAAGCAAGCGCTTCGCCGGGAATGGACCAAAATACCGCAGAGCATCATTCGGTTAGCGCTTGACGGTTTCGTTGGCCGTTTAAAGGTTATAATTCGTGCCAAAGTTGACAATAAAATTAAAAAAAATAAATGTTAAAATTATGGCGTTTGACTTTGTTGCATTTTTTTAATCTCACCCTGTATATCACCGGATTTCGTGTTAAAGTCCTTCACATGCGTAATATGCATCCGACAACAGAGATATTTTGTACCAGATATCTTATGAAGCTTAGGAATCGGTTCAGATGTTTGCATACCCTCGATATACATCTTCATACGATTTTACTCTTATTGTTTACCATATACGTTATATCAACTCAAATTGGATTGATTTTTTCATGTTCAACCAAATGTTTCCATTTGGTGAAACTCGAACCGGTTTATCTATTGATCCAATAGGTATGTTTAATATAATCTTTATCGAAGTCGTATCATACACTATACAGCAATGTCATTTGGTACTAGATATATGAAAGCCTCCGTCAAATTTGATGAAAATCGATTCAGAGTTGGATGTAGTTCCCAAATTCATAGTTGGTATGATCTACTTCACATAAATTCCCAATATTATTCCAATTTTTTTTTTATGGGAGCTCTACTAAATACGCATAGTGGTGTAGGGTATCATATATTCGGCCCAGCCCAACTTTTGACCTTTCCTTACTTGTTTTTTCCTGTTTTTATACCCTCCCCCATACTATGGAGGGTATATTAACTTTGTCATTCCGTTTGTAACTCCTCGAAATACTCATGTCAGACCCAACAATGTATATATATTCTTGATCAGCGTAAAATTCTACACACATGTTTATTTTTCCAGAAGTCAGGTTAAGTTCGTAAATGGGCCATGTAGGTCCACGTTTTTATATAGCCCCCATATAATGGTACCTCCCGATATTCGATATTTTGATGATTTTAGCTACATTTTGAATATGGTAATGGCTTATGACAAACAATGCCTATGAAGGTCCACGTCGTATAGACCCCAATATAACGGCTATATTCGGTATTTTTAAAATTTTAACAGAAGTTTTTAAGGATTTTATTTTTTGAAAATTATCAAATTCGTTCAAAATTGTGGAGGGTATTCAAAGTTCGGTCCGGCTGAACTTACAGCTTTTTTACATGTCTTTCTTTAAATTACTCAGCTAATCTCTGGGGTGTGGACAATTCCAAGTAGATATGATAGCTTTTTTGGGCTCCAATGGCAGAGGGTTTAGAGTCCTTTATATAGCGTTAATCATACAAAAGGAACAACCAGTATTTTGGGATATAGTTTTAATGTGGAACTTTGATATTTTATAGAGTTTTGGATTACTTCAGAAGTCATTGGTCGTAGCAATTGGCTATGTCGGTCCATTTTTATTGAATTTGCAAAGAATCGAACTACGAATTAGTTGATACTTTCCTTGCAGAAAGTGGTATTGCCCTCATATAAAAATACTTCCTGATATTAGTTTATTCGAAGGTTTTGATATCTTATTCCAATTGATTTGGTATTCTTTTCGGTATTTTTGTTACTTTCAAGGCTTATATCACTACCTTACAATAAGTTCGCAGTTTAAGATCCTGCCCTGTGAACCGCCCACATATAGGTACTTCCAGATTTAAGTTATTCCGAGAGTCATGGTCATATTTTCCAATCGATTTTTATACCCCAAACCACAAAGTGGTCAGGGTATTATGTCTTTGTGCATTTGTTTGTAACAGACAAAAGGGAACGAGATAGACCCATAGTTCCTTTTGGTGATCTGCATAGAATCACATTCTGAGTCGATTTATTCATGTCCGTTCGTCCGTCCGTCCGTCTATCCATGCATTCTTGTGAACAAAATGCAGGTCACATTTATTATCCGATTGAGATGAAACTTTGCAAACAACATTTGTTTGGCCCAAGGACAAACCCTATTGAAATTGGAGATAATCGGTCAAAATTTAGATATAGCTCCCATATATATCTTCGTCCGATTTGCTTTTTATTGTGCACCAAACGTTTAGTATCAGCCCGAATAGTATGGAATTTTGCACATACAACCAAATTAGGCCTGAAAATAAGTATGTCAGATTTGATCGAAATCGATTCAGATATAGCTATAGCTCCCATATATATTGTTCGTCCGATTTGTTATTTTTGTCCACCGCAGCCGTAATATGCACTCTGTAACAACAATATTTGGGGAAATATAGCAAATACAGCTCAGAAATACATTTGCTAAATTTTATGGAGATCGGTTCAGATTTGGATATAGCTCCCATACATAATTCGTCCGATTTACCTTTTATTGTACACCAAACGTCTAATATTTGTCCAAATGGGCTGGAATTAGGCACTTATGACCGAATCGAGTCTAGAACCTAGTACGTCAAATTTTGTGAAGATCACTTCAGATATAGCTATAGCTCCCAAATATATTGTTCATCCGATTTGTTATATTTGTTACCCACAACCGTAATATGCACTCCGTAACAACGATATTCAGGGAAATATATCAAATACAGCTCAGAAATATCTTTGCCAAATTTTATCGAGATCGGTTCAGATTTGGATATAGCTCCCATATATATCTTTATTCGATTTCAAATTAATTGTGCACCAAGTGGTCAATACAAGTCCGAATTTAGAAGATACAAATGCTTCGGCATATTATGTCCTTTGAACATTAAATTATAGTTATAAACATAGAGTGTATGTTTGAATTCTGTTTGAAACAATTAAAAATTATTATGCGGAGCTCTACTAGATTAGCAAAGTGGTGTAGGGTATCATAAAGTCGGCCCCGCCCGAATTTAAGACTTTATTTACGGTTCTGTTTTTTTTTTTTTTTCAAAGAAGAATTTTTGATTTTGTATGGAATGTATTTTTATGGACTACTGACTTGAGAAATATGGAACCCATAAAGAGTATTTTTTCATGGTCAATGTTCTAAAATAGTTGATTTTCTAATTGCGATCTCCAGTGAATTTTTATAGCTAACACATGCTTCCATTTTTTTTTATTTCATGAACAGTGATCCCTTTCTTGTTATTATTGTGGGTTCTTCGATTATTCTCTGTTTGAAAAATGTCCAACACCCATCCCTTGTTCCATCTCTTGCTGTGAACACAAACATAACTATTCTACCTGCATCTCTATCACCCGCCCGATTGCCCATCGTTTGTTTTACAACAACAACACCACATAAGTGGTTTCTGTTTTGCACTTCAAGATTCCTTAATTCTCGGCAACACATATCCATTTAATAATACTGATTTCATGACGTGCTGTCAATGTCAGCATCCCGGCGTTATTGCGGTGGGTCAGTTTGTTTAGCGTCACAATACAATAATATTTACATATGTTTTGTACATATGTGAGATATACGCCATATTGTTATCAATATTGTGGGCTTGATTGTTCATTCTCAATACAAACATATGTACGGGATTCAATGCAGAAAAAAGGGAATATCTGTCATCAGTTTTGAGTCTTCCATTGTTGAAGATTGTTTGGCTTCGCAATTAAAAGCGGAAGAATTTGTTTATTTTATATTTTTTTTTTTTTGCAATTTAATATAAACAAATGCCATTCTTGGAATTTGAGTGTAAAGTCTGTTTTGTAATTTATAAGGACCAGTCAACATTTAGGAGGCATTTTCGTAGTCATAAAATATGCAATATATGCGATCACGTATGTTTGCATGTATATGCGCTGCGAATGCACTATACGCACTTTCACCCGGGAGAGGAGTTTCCAACGGAACGACAACGAAAAACACTTTTTGATAAAGAACGGGCGACAAAACTTTATGGTATAAAAAGACAATTCTCAGGACAACAAAATGCTCTCCAACAAAAGCAACAACTTCGATATCAACATGAACCACAGCAGCAAAAACATGAAATGCAATGTAGCCAACAAAGTGAATATAAAAAACAACAACAAGATCAACAAATTCCCGGACAATGGCATATTCCAACAACAATAGAATCTACAATCCCCAACGAATCACCTTCTCCCCAATCAAGTAGGGACAGCTCACCTCATCCGCAGCAACAGCAAGTTGGACCAACTGAACAACTACAACATCAGACGCAACAAGCTTATTTAGAACGCTGCCTGAATCAATTAAAATATCTTGAATCCATTTATATGTTATCCCAATAGAATCAAAGGTGGAGATTACGTGTCACAGGATATCAAGGTTATCGATCTGTTTACTTATTTGTCAATTAATGATTTGGGCGCCAATTTTTACTCTCACGGGAAAATTTTGATGATGTAACATATTGTAATGACTTGAACTCACAGAGATACACTATGAAGCAGAACCAAAGGAACTGGGAATGATTTTTTTCTGATTGTATTTGACGTCCTCCCAATGCAAGTAAACTATTGGAAACATAGAAAGTGTATCCCAAAAAAATTTACATTAAGAAACCAAAAACTAAGAATTGAACCCAAATATTTTATATATGTATGTATATACTTTTTTAAATTATAAAAAAATTGTCTTATTTCGATGAAATATGTATTTATGTTCTTTTTCAAATAAATCCAACACCAAAGGATCTTCAATCTCAAAATAAGGAAACAACTACCGACCAAACTGAATTATGGTTTGTTTTTTATACCCTATACCACATAGTGGTAAGGGTATTATGTCTTTGTGCATTTGTTTGTAACATGGAGAAGGAAGCGAGATAGTCCCATAGTTAGTTTTGAGGATCTCCATAGAATCACTGTCTGACTTGATTTATGCATGTCAGTCCGTCTGTCCGGCCGTCTGTCCATGTATTCTTGTTGAAGTTAGAGTTGAAATTTTCCAAAAAATATTTGTTTGGCCCGAGGACGAATCCTATGGAAATTGTTGATAATCGGATCAGATTTAGATATCTCAAACCGATTTTGTGTTTGTTGTGAACCAAATGGCCACTATACGTCCAAATGACCTGTATTTTGGTACATCCCACCGAATTCAGTCTTTGTGAAAATCGGTTCAGATATAGCTCCCTTATATATGTTTTATCCGATTTGGGGTTTAAAGTTCCTCTCAAGCGTAATATGCATTCCACAACAATGATATTTGTTACCGGACATCTGATACTGCTCAGAAGTGTTGAAAATTTTGTCAAGATCGGTTCAGGTTTGGATATAGCTCCCATATATCCTCAGTATATCAATATCAGTCCAAATGACCTGAATTTTGGCATATCCGGAAGAATTCAGTCTAGAAGCAAGAACATAGAATTCTGACAAAATCGGTTTCATCTGATTTGGTGTTTAAGTCTCTCACATTCGTAATATGCATTCAGCAACACTGGTACTTAATGCCAGATATCTTATAGAGCTCGGAAATACCTTTGGCAAATTTTATCGAGATCGTGTAAGATTTGGATATAGATCTCATATATATCCTTAATCAGATTTCAGGTTTATTTTGCACCTAATGGCTAATATCAACCCATTTGGAGTGAATTTCGAGACATATGCTTCCATTTGGTGGAACTCGACTCTAATACATATATTTTTTTTAATAGGATCCTTCTCGAAGTGATATCATGCACTCTATTTTTATACCCTACACCACAAGGTGGTCAGGGTATTATGTCTTTGTGCATTTGTTTGTAACAGGCAAAAGGAAACGAGATAGACCCATAGTTCCTTTTGATGATCTGCATAGAATCACATTCTGAGTCGATTTATGCATGTCCGTCCGTCTGTCTGTCCATCCGACCGTCTGTCCATGTATTTTCGTAAACAAATGTATTTTTGTAAACAGTTCGTATTTATTGCCCTATCCAGATTTATTGCACAGAAATTATGCACAGATTATTTGTTTGGCCCAAGGACGAACCCTATTGAAATTGGAGATAATCGGTAAAAATTTAGATATAGCTATCATATATATCTTCGTCCGTGTGTAATATCAGCCCGAATAGTATGGATTTTTTCACATACAACCAAATTAGACCTGAAAATAAGTATGCCAAATTTAATCGAAATCAGTTCAGATATAGCTATAGCTCCCATATATATTGTTCATCCGATTTGTTATTTTAGTCCTCCGCAGCCGTAATATGCACTCTGTAACAACGATATTCAGGGAAATATATCAAATACAGCTCAGAAATATCTTTGCCAAATTTTATCGAGATCGGTTCAGATTTGGATATAGCTCCCATATATCTTTATCCGATTTCAAATTAATTGTGCACCAAATAGGCAATAAAGTCCGAATAAAAAGATACGAATGCTTCGACATATTTAGTCCTTCGAACTTTAAATTATAATTATACTCATAGCGTTTATGATTGAATTCTCTCATAAAAACTTTTAATAGTTATGTGGAGCTCTACTAAATTAGCAAAGTGGTCTAGGGTATCATAAAGTCGGCCTCGCCCGATTTTAAGACTTTCTATATTGGTTATTATCTATTATTTGGTATCAAAGATTTAAATGCCTCCGTCAAATTTAGTAAAAATCGATACAGAATTGGATATGCCTCCCAAATATCAGTTCCCTCTGAAACCAAATTAAAACTGATCTAAAGTCAAATTTTGATAGGTGGTATGATCTATTTCAAATAAATTCTTTCGTTACGGGAGCTCTACTAAATATGCATAGTGGTGTAGGTTATCATATAGTCGGGCAGGCCTTTCAGGACTTTCGACTTTTACTTATTGGTTATCATTTACTGTAGTACCTATTACGAATTTTAAATACGAAATTTGAAACAATTCCGGTATAAAGTTTCGGTAACATCAATAAAATACCGAATAAAGGGAGGTGCTATTATATGTGGACTAAATGAAGACGAAGTCCAACATAGGCAAATTTCCGTCATAGAAATTTGAAACAATTCCGGTAAACAATGTCTTAATCAACAAAATACCGAATATGAGGATGTATCGTTATATGAGGGCTAGACGTGGATCTGCATACGCAATTTTTTGTCATAGTAAATAAAATCATCAGAATACCGAATCGGTAGGCACCGTTGTATGTGGGCTATACAAAAAACGTGGACCTATGCATACAATGAAACGTGGAAAAATGTGGCGAAAATCATCCCAGTATCGAATATCGGGACCTATACATACAATGTTTCACCACCGGAGCAAGAACTAATTATGAGCGACAAATAGCATTTTTATACAAATCCGTAAAAAATGTGGTAAAACTCATCAAAATACCGAATATCGGGAGGTATCTATATATGGCGGCTATACCAAAACGTGGACCGATACATCTCATTTTAATACCAACCATCCTAGACATAATAAAAATTGTTCTGCCAAATTTTGAAGCTCTACGTCAAATAATGTGGGCTGTATCGTGATTTCAACAAACAGACGGACAGACAGACGGGCGTCGTTAAATCGACTTAGAATTTTATGCTAATCATGAAAATATTACAAACGGAATGACAAACTTAAATTAAAGGTGGAGGGTATAAAAATCAGAAGGGTATAAAAAATTATAAAAATTAAATATTAAAATTCATTTCGATTTAAATTCATTCGATATTGAGTGCAAGAGGTTAAGACCGTGTTTTTGAGATGCAACCGTTCGAGTTTTTGCCTTGTCGAATATTATCAACAAAATACACTGCCTCTAATTTACTTACTTTTCATATTTTGCTGAAAGGACCAAAGAAAATATTCTACCTGAATTTTAATATCTCGCAGCAGGAACAGCACACAAGTGGTTTCCGATGAACACCTAAAGATTTTCCTATTCACTTTTAAACACATAATCTGATAACAACTTGTTCGGCAACGTGTTGACCCCTTCAGCGCTGGTGGTTGTCGGTGGTTGGGATGGGTCAGGTATTTTTTTGTTATTGTCGATTATAATAATATTTACGTGAGACCTCAGCATTGTCAACAGGACGTGTGTCAACAGGATTGCTCTTCTAATTAAGGGTTGTTTTCAGTTACGGACCTGTAGACAGAAAATGCAACTGGCAATATCATTGTTATTTGAGCCTGCAGTCGGTGAAGAGTGTTGGCCGCAACGGAAAGGATAGATATAGTTTTTATTTCTTTTCAAAAATTCTCATTTTTTTTAAAATGTCACTTCCACCTCCGTTTGTTTGTAACTTCTGCTCCAATGTTTTGAGCAACGCCAGCGCTTTTAAGAAACATTTGCAACTGCATAAAATATGCAATAAATGCAATCGGGTGTTTTTGCATTTGACGGCATTAAAAATGCACTACAATTTTTTCCATCCGGGAGAGAAGATTCCAGAGGAGCGAGAACTAAAAACGTTATGCGGAGAACAAAAGCAACTGCAACAGGAGTATGAAAGTCAGCGACAAAATTGGGGTCAATATCATCAGCAACAATATGGAATGCAACATCATCAACATCGGCAGCAACAACAACTCCAACAACATCACATGCACAATGGACATCAGAGAGCATTTCATCATCAACAACAACAACAACAACACCACCATCCAAATCCAGGACAATGGCATATTCCCGCTTCACCTGGGACTACCATACATGAGGAACCAACTACCCCACAACTCAGAAGTAATAGCTCACCTCATACGCAACAGCAGCAAGTTGGACCAACTCAGCAACTACAACATCAAGCGCAACAAGCGTTTTTAGAACGCTGCCTAACTCAATTGAAATATCTTCAATCCATGTATGTGTTACCTCAATAGAGCCAAAGGGTGGAGGCCTAGAGTCACAATGGCATAACGAAGAGGTTAGAGGTTTTAAGAGGCAACTGCTTTAAATACATCTGGGTTTGGATATCCATATGTTCCCATCAATGCTCGAACCCGTGAGGAAAATGTGGTCATAGAAGATCACACAAGAGCTAGACAGCAGATCAAATACATATTTCGCACCAGAACCAAAGAATTTATGAACAATCGAATTACTAATAAATTAATCGAATTATTAATAATAAATTCACGAATAAAGTAAAATGGCATACATAGAAACTAATTATACCCTACACCGGATAGTGGTAAGGGTATTATGTATTTGTGCATTTATTTGCAACATGAAGAACGAAGCGAGATATACCCATAGTTATTTTTGAGGATTTTCATAGAATCAGTTTCTGAGTCGATTTATGCATGACAGTTCGTGTGACCGTCCGTCTGTCCATGTATTTTTGGGAATACAGGTCGCATTTATTATCCGATTAAGATGAAATTTTCCGGACAATTTTTGCTTGCCCAAGGACGACTCCTACTGAAATTGGTGAAAATCGGTTCAAATTTAGATATAGATATATTCAACCGATTTCGGTTTAATTGTGCACCAAATGGCCAATATCAGTCTAAATGACTTCAACTTTGGCACATACAACCGAATTCAGTCCAGAAGTAAGCACATCAAATTTGGAAAAAATCAGATATCACATACAGCCCAGAAATAAGTTATCAGAATTTTGTCTAGATCGGTTCAGATTTGGATATAGCTCCCGTGTATATCTTTATCCGATTACCGATTAAATGGCTAATATCAGCCCACATGAAATGGATTTGTGGTATTCTCGACGGAATTCAGTCTAGAAGTAAGTACATCAAATTTGATAAAAATCGGTTCAGATATAGCTCCCATATATATGTTTCATCCGATTTTGGGGTTTAAGTCCCCCACATGGGTAATATGCACTCTACAACAACGATATGTTATACCGGACATCAGATACAGCTCGAAAATACCTCGGCCAAAATTTATCGACATCGGTTCACATTTCTATATGCCTTTGATATACATCTTCATGCGATTTTAGGGTTATTGTCCACCATATATTACACAGCCTAAATTGTTATATTTGTACACTCTCATGCACATGCCTGGAGGGTATATATCATTTGATACGGCCATGACGTGACTCATCGAAATAATGGTTTTAGACCCTAGGTTTTTTGGACCAAATCAGTTTCAGGAAATTTGGTGGCGTTTTAGCGATGCCGATCTGTCCATTCATCTGTCTGCTGGCTGCTGTGCACGTTAACTCTCGAATAAATCTTTTGTGTCTCGTTCCATAGCTCGTTACCGTGATACTGGTAACATAGCCCAACGTCAAGGAAGTGGACGGAAGAAAACAGCAACAGCAGCAGAAATGGTTCGAAAAGTACAGAAGCGACTTGACCGAAACCCGCGTCGCAGTGACCGTGAGCTGAACATATCGCAATATTCCATTCGGCAAATATTGAAAAATGAACTCGGGGTAAAGCCATTGAAATTCCAACAATTGCAAGAACTTACACCGCAACAAAAAGAAAATAGACTCAAAAGAGCTAAAGAGTTACTTCGCTTGACCGAAAGTGGTAAACTGCCGAATTTGGTTTTCTCCGATGAGAAATCATTCGTTGTCCAGTAGTTTATAAACAAACAAAATGATCGTGTTTACTTGCCAAAGAGGTCAGTTGAAAATGTGCACTTTCGGTTGGCCATCAGAATTCAAGCGCCGGCCATGCTGATGGTGTGGGCCGCCATAACAGCCGTATCAATTGACCGTGGCATCAAAATAAATGCCGCATATTATCGCGAAAATATTCTGGAGGGTGAAGACTTGGGCACGGACATTTTGGCCGCAGACTTTGGACATTCCAGCAGTACTCAGCAGCATCGCACTCAGAACGCGCCACCCAAAAATTTTTACAAAATGAGGTTCCTCGCTTCATTTCCAGCGCACAAAGGCCACCAAAATCTCCGGATAACAATCCGGTGGACTATTGCGTCTGGAGTATTTTGGATAGCAAGGTTGGCACTAAAAAATACCAAAGTGTCGATCACCTCAAGCAAGCGCTTCGCCGGGAATGGGCCAAAATACCGCAGAGCAACATCAGGACAGAGTGTGACGGTTTCATTGACCGTTTTAAGCCCATAACTCCTGCCAAAGGTGTCCAATTCGATCAAATCTAAACTTATTCTAAAATTTTATGCCATTTCCGACATTTTTTGCTTCCATTCAATAAAATTAAAAAAAGTAAAAAAGCTGTAAGTTCAGCCGGGCCGAACTTTGAATGCCCTCCACCATTTGGTACAAATTTGGCAATTGTCAAAAAATTAAAATCCATTAAAAATTCTGCTAAAATCTTAAAAATACCGAATGTAGCCGTATATTAGGGTACGACGATGTGGACCTGCATACGCAACTTTTATCATAAGCCTCCACAAACAATTTTCTGGCATAGGCTGTAGTACGATTTCGAACTTCAGATACAAAATTTGGAATAATTCAGGTAAATAACGTCGCTAAAATCATCAAAATACCGAATATCGGGGGGTACCGTTATATGGGGGCTATACGAAAACGAGGACCTGCACGGACAATTTTATGTCAAAGGCTGCGGTATCCACTACGAACTTCAACTGCAAAATTTGAAACAATTCAGGTAAAGCATGTCGCTAAAATAATCAAAATACCGAATATTGGGGGGGTACCGTTATATGGAGGCTATACGAAGATGTGGACCTACATAGCTCATTTTCAATACCAAAAGTCCTGCAGACATAATGCAAAATTGAGTAAATTTTTATCAACATACTTCCTTTCGTTCGGAAGCTAGAGTGATTTCCACAGACGGACAGACGGACGGACATTGATAAATCGACATAGAATTTTATACTGATCAAGAATATATATACTTTGTGGGGTTTAAAATGTGTATTTCGAGGTGTTACAAACGGAATGACAAACATAATATACCATCAATACTATGGTGGAGGGTATAATAAAAATTATGGCGTTTGACTTTGTTGCAGTTTTTTATACCCTCCATAAATATACGTCGTAGACCCCATAATGTATATATATATTCATAATCACCATAAAATTCTAAGTCGATTTAACGATGTCCGTCTGTCTGTCTGTCCGTTTGTCTGTCTGTCTGTTGAAATCACGATACAGCTCACATTATTTGACGTAGAGCGCCAAAATTTAGCAAAGCAAATTGTATTGTGTCTAGGATGGTTGGTATTGAAAATGAGATATATCGGTCCACGTTTTGGTATATTCCCCATATAACGGTACATCCCGATATTCGGTATTTTGATGAATTATCCCTCTTTTTTCACGGATTTGTCTGAATAATGGTATTTGTAGGTCATAACGTGTACCAGTTCGTGTGGCAAAACATTTTATGTATAGGTCCACGCTTTGGTATAGCCCCCATATAAAGGTACCTCCCGATATTCGGTTTTTTGATTATTTTTGACACATTTTTTCAAGCATTTCTCTGAAAATTGGTAGTTGTAGATCATAATGGGTCCCAGTTCGTGTGGCGAGTCGATTTAGCAATGTCTGTCTTTCTGTCTGTCCGTCTGTCTGTTGTAATCACGCTATTTTTCGAACGAATTGAGATACAAGGCTAAAATTTTGCACACATGTTTAATTTTTCAGTAGGCAGGTTGAGTTCGGACTATGTAGGTCCATGTTTTCATATAGCCCCCATATAACGGTTCCTCCCGATACTCGGTATTTTAATGATTTTAGCGACATTATTCACCGGAATTGTTTCAAATTTGGTATTTGAAGTTCGAATTGGACACTACATCCTAAGACAGAAAATTGTATGTGCAGGTCCACGTTTTCGTAGAGCCCCCATATAACAGTACATCCCGATACTCGGTATTGTAATGATTTTATGTACATTTTTCACCGGAATTGTTTCAAATTTGGTATTTAAAGTTCGAAATGGATACTACAGTCTAAGACAGAAAATTGTCTGTGCAGGTCCACCTTTCGTATAGCCCATATGACGGTACCTCTCGTTATTCGGTATTTTGATGATTTTAGGGAATTTATTCACCGGAATTGTTTCAAATTTGATATTTGAAGTTCGTTATGGATACTTCAGCCTACGACAGAAAAATTGTTTGTGCAGGTCCACGTCTTCGTATAGCCCCCATATAACGGTAACTCCCGATATTCGGTATTTTGATGATTTTAGCGACAGTATTCACCGGAATTGTTTCAAATTTGGTATTTAAAGTTCGAAATGGATACTACAGTCTAAGACAGAAAATTGTCTGTGCAGGTCCATGTCTTCGTATATAGCGATATTTTTAAGATTTTAACAGAATTTTTAACGGATTTCATTGTTTTTGAGAATTGCCAAATTCGTTCCAAATGGTGGATGGTATTCAAAGTTAGGCCTGGCCGAACTTACAGCTTTTTTACTTGTTTTTATCTCACCCTGTACTCGTTCATTTCGTTTGTCCAATACGAATTATCCAATTTTTAGTACTTTTTGTACCTTTACAGTACGAATTCCAAAACACCCAGCCTTGTGAAATGTCTACACGCCAAGTCTGACCCTCGTGGACAATTTCAAGATTCTAGCTTCAGCCGTTTCGTCTGGAAGTTTATTCTAGATTACTCATTCATTTCATTATTTTTTATTTTTTTTTTTTTTTTGTTCTAAAAACATGAAAAAATAAATTTAAAACGCTTTAATTTACGCAAATTATCGCATAATGTTAATTGCAAATCCAAAAAAAAAACCAAAAAAACTCTTGGTAATTGTTGTCCGCAACATTTATATGCTGCGAACATTGAGTTCATGACTTGATTCTAGGCTCCAACCAACCAAACCAATTCAAACAATGGCAACTTAACGCAGTTAATAAATGAGGTTAAATTGAAAAGTTGTAATTTTGTTTTCAATTCAAAACTATTTTCAGACATAAACAT